AGATAGTCAGATTAACAGTATTTTGTCTCTATCTGCCATTCTGCAATTCATCTCATGTAAACAATAACGTGGCGCAAGCTTGACGTGAAAAAAGGCACATACCTTTGACGTTGGGTGTTGAACTCTGTATTCATCATCCACCTAAATGCAAAAAAAGGGTTTTAAAAAATCTCCGTTTTCGGTGACTCGAAACGCCATTTACGTGTGAACAAAACAGCTGCGTTTTCAAAAATACCTGTGTAGGTGTGGACGTCGCGTAAAAGTGTTAGTAGTTTATTTTATTACTACCTGTAATTTATTGCAGATTACTTGTATCTGCAATAAACACACACACCCAAATGTTTGAGGTGTGAAATAAACCGCAATGGAGCAAAATATGGGTGTGTGTGGTTGGAGGATGTGTTAGTGCGTGTGCGTGCGCGTGTGCACGGGGGGCGAACATTTTTCATGTAAAACAAAGGGGGGCCCAGCAAAAAAAAAAGTTTGGGAACCACTGAGTTACATCATGAGCTTCACATTACTCAGCAGCATTTACAGTCACTTAAAAAAAATCATCATATGCTTCACTTTATTGGAAGCCAGAAACCTGGATAAACACCAGAATTATGACTCACAAATACACCAGCGGTTTATTAAGAAACTCAAACCAGTTCCTTTTCGCGTCTTCTACTGTTATTTTCCCCTACATGGACCCATGCTTTTTCGTGTTGTGCCTGGGGAACAAGGCGGGGCTTTATCCATGGGAACTTTATTTGAAAACGCATTCCCAAAGGTTTTGTTTCACTTACAGTAAAAGCCACAGTGAACACTGGAAATTGAGGTGATCACTTGTGAACTGCGTTAAACCACCGACATGGCGCTGACTAAATTAATGAGTGCGATCCTCACCAGAGCGCTGTTTATTTTAGTTGCTGTCATCGGAGTGTTGAGGGTGGCATCGGTTAAGAAGGATAACAATTACTTGTTTCTGGCTTTTCTTTTGTTGCCGCTTGTTGTTGAAATGATAGTAACACTGAAGATGCGAAAAGGACAGGATTATAAATGGTAAGATAAAGGACCATGCATGTAAGTGATGGTAAAAAAAAAAGTGCTGTAATATTGTAATTATATTATCCTTAAGTATTCATTAGGCTACTTAATGCCTTAAGCTATTCATATTACTTTCAAACTCATCTCCGCTCTATCGTTTGCACTTTCCCCCTCTAATAGACAGTATAACAGTATAATGCATGATTAAATTATGCATTTTCATCTTTTCCTAGTCTTTATCTCGACCCCGGTGTACCTTATATGCATATTTAAGTAGTCTGTACCTTTGCTGCTACTATATTGATAAGCTGGGAAGCTAATAGTTAAACTGTCCCGAATGGTGGTACCGATACCCCTTGACTTTTATTACTTCAAGTTAATCTCTTCAGTCTTCCTGCATGCTTGAAGTAAACATGCTTATCACTTTTCTTTTCTTTTTTAAACATTTTTGAATGCCTTTGGTTGTCTTGTAGGTTTTCCCCTCCTATCTTTCTGTTCCTCATTACTATTATTCCCTCGATCTGGATTCTG